AGAAAACAAACTAGATTCAAAAGACTGGCCCTATTGTTCCCAGTGTCCACCTACCTGGAATGGTTCAGGAGCAGTAAGGTAAAGTGGTTAATATCTTGAGATGCGATGTTCCTGTTTCTCAGTACTTCTGTCACGTGTGTTGTTAAGCATTATACAAGTGCACTTTCTAAGTGGTGAAATGATTTATAAATGGTTATGTAATGTTGAGGTGTAAAACCATAATTTTTAACTCATCTAAAACACCCTGAACTGGATTGTTAGTTTAGTAACTCTTCCTAGTCCTGCATGGCTGCTCGTGTAGAATATCTCCTTTTTGCTTCTAATTTAGAAATAGCATTTCCATATTCCTAGAATGAGAAGCTTAAACAACTGAGCTTTTTACTGTGAAGTAGTTTTAAGAATGTGTTGTCAGTATACTGGTAATTTGAATCTGCAATTAGTATATATGTTAGAAAAAGTATGTTTTATTTTTTATCTTTCCTAGCTATGTGAATCTTACTTGATAACAGCTAAATATATCTATTTTTAGTTATATTCTATTTGTGTATGGGCACTGAAGTACTTGAGATTTTAGCTTTTTCAAATGAACTCTTCTGAAAGCTTCTGCTGTAATTGGTAGCATGCAGAACAAAGCTTCCTGACAGAGAAGCTGCGTACAACAAGATTTTTGCTTTGTATTTATTTTCCCTTTGGATATCTGAGTAGTTTGTGTAATGTACTAACTTGTTTTCTTAGAAACTCTTCTAGTTACTGGATTTTTTTTTTGCTGTTTGAACTGCATGACAGAAACCATTACTGCTCATTAAGTGTGTCATTTTTACCAAAAATTAATCCATAAAACTATATAAATGTCATCTTATGAAATATTTTGCAGTGCTCGCCAGAAAACTAAAGCTAGTTATCAAGATGAGCGAAAGAGCAGTGCAAGACTGATTATATTTGTGATTGGAGGAATTACATATTCTGAGATGCGCAGTGCTTACGAAGTTTCTCAAGCCCACAAGTCATGTGAAGTTATCATTGGTAAGTCTGTCCTGGGACCAGGGTGATATGTAGAGATTTACTTTAAACAAGAGTATGTAGTCTAAAGATGTGTTTCTGTAAAAATGTAAGCATCTTTTTCTTTTTCAACATTGGTTCAGTAAACTAATACTACAGTCAATGTATCTTTTAAAACCAGATGTTCAAACTGAGAAGTTACTTCTGTAGTTTTCAACATAGAAGGATCATCATGAATTAAATCAGAAAAATGTATTATTAAAGTAGTCTGATGTATAACAAAAAATATTAAATAGATCTATATTTCCTTGCATTACACTGTCTCCTCACAAACTCGTGCATCTGCCTGTGCTTTACCTACAATTATTGTACCTACAATTACCTACAGCTACAATTATTATTCTGGTTAATTTTGTAAGTAGTAGGAAAGCTGGTAGAATAGTGCAAAAGTAATCCCTTCTTGTGGGAGGGAGGAGAAATAATTATTTCTTAATTTTTTTAAAAAGTTTTTTTCAAGTGTAGCTAAGTCTGTTTTACAACATCTTGCGGATCTTGTCATGTTTTTGTTTTTCTTTCAGAAAAATTAAACAAAACACACCATGCTCAATAGCTTTTTCCGCGAAAATTAGTTATCTCCCTAATCTTTTTAGGATTCTGCGGTGTAAATGCATGAATCACTAGCAGGAGTAATAATCCCTCAGTTAATACCTAGAGGCAGAAAATGCTTTTTCTATCATCTGCTGTGTTCCAGATAATCATTTATTGCTATTTAAATTTAATTGCTAAAACCCTTGGGTACATGATATATCAAAACAAAAATCCCAGATTTAGAACCTTACCAGAGACCTGTATTGATGTGCAGTGGCAACTGCTGTCTGGGTGCGGAGTCATCTAAAGCATCCTAAATTGCCTGAGATGCCTGTGTTTTGGCAACTAAACTTTAAATCCTTTTTGACACTCAAGAATAATCCTATCTACTGTCACTTAAGTAAATAAGACTCTTCCCTAAAGCAGTAACAACTTGATTCTGAGAATGAGAATCTGCCATTAGTATTTTTTTTCTTTTGGTTGCTGGTCTTGTTAGTAGTGATTGAGGTAGGTTTAACACCAGTGTTGAGTTGCAATTGGAAGACAAGGACAAGAGGAATGTAGTTTGACAAGACTGTTTCTTCATCTAAGACTTGTTTACAAAATTGCATCTAGCATAGGTCACTTCCATTGTAATTTCTGGCATCATCTTCCTTTTTTTATTTGGAAGTGATTCTTGTAGCTTTGCATGTAATCCTGCTTTCTGAGGGAAGGTGATAACATTCCATACGAGATGAAAACATTACTCAATTTTGAATTGAGAATTCAAGGAATACTAACCTGTACAGATTGTCACTGCTAAAACTCAAGGTTTGAGACTGCCCTGATCTTAAATGGTTAAGATTTTCCTTTATAACTGCAGGGTGACCCTTCAAGGCAGAAGTTATATCACACTCCATGAGAATCAGAGAAGTAATAGTAGTGTGCTCTTGAGGAAAAGCATGTTTTTTCTTGGCCGCTCCAAATTTGAAATTGTTGTGAAAATTTTTAGGAAATGTTGGCTGGTAAAAGATAACTTTTTCTCTAACCATTATTTGTATGGAGAACTGTTTGTGGTAATCCTTAATGCAGACGACTTCCTGATTTTTAGGATAAAGCCTGTCATTAACTCACCCTTTCACAGAATGGGCAGATTTATTGCAGCTTGGGACAATTATGGAGTGAAAAGTTCAAGGCTGTGTTTCAAACCAGATGGAGCAGGAACTTGAAACTGGTGTCCAAAGTAAGAGTACTAGGGATGTGGTCTTTGCCCTCCCATCCTCGCTTCTCCACTCTCTCCTGGTCCCCAAATCCTTGTAGCCTTTGTTTAACTGGGGCAAGGGGCAGAGCAAGAAAGACAACCATTTTTTTTTCCTGGTTGTCCACTGTGTGTGGAAGGTGGACACCTCCCTTTTAGGCCTTCCTAATCGTGACAGTTGGGCTTTATGTAACACACAACTTTACGTAACACACGAAAACATTTGGAACTGTTTTTCTGTGTGTGTGTGTGTATACTTCTAATGACTGCAAAGTGTAACAATTAACTTAATCAGTCTAAAAATTTGTTTGCTTTGTCAGGTTCTACACACATTTTGACACCTAGAAGACTACTGGATGAAGTAAAGAGCCTCACTAAACCCAAGGATACGGTCTGCGTTAAGGATGAATAGAAAGGGTGATGCGTTAGGAAAAGACAAATAGTATGTACACGTTCTCATGCAACTGACTTTTGCAAATACTGTACTGGAATACTACAGGGACTAATGGAATGTCATTTAAAATCTGAAGTTGCTGCTTTTTGGGGGAACTAGAAGGCAGAGAAGAGGGAAAAAGAATAACATGTTTCCTAGGTTGTATTTAATATAGGCGGTGGTACACTGTAAGTGCCTTTTCAAACGAGCATGTTCTTCCCTAACAAGTTATGATAAAAGTTATCATGATTATATATATGTATACTCCAATTGTTTTTGAAAACTGTGAAACCCTTCTATAATAGTTTATTTCTAAAAATCACTGAATTAAAGACTCTAGGATCTGAGGGAGAGGCTTCAAAAGAAAGCTGTAAATACTAGTTTGTTAAAAAAAAAATAATGTATATTTCAAAAAAGTGCAATGTCTCTAATTTCTCTGTAAAATAACTTTAAATGCATGTCATTATGAAAAAATATTTTTTCTGGGTGGTTGTGGGTAATGTAGAAATCCAGTCATAGACATATTGAGCACTTAATTTCAATAAATAACATTAAAGAAATGCTGTCAATTGTGGACTGAAGTACACTGTAAGCATATACTTATCTCTAAAAATTTCCAAAAATAGTTTTGTTTTTTTTTTTTTTTTTTTACAGACTTGCTTGTGATTGTGTCTGTATAGTGCGCCTGTTTTATAAATGGAATTGCCTATAATAGTATTCTGCTAGCTCCCATGTAATTTTCAAAATTGTAAGCTTCATTTTTTTTTTTTTGAAGGGGGGGGGAAGATGTGAGAGAAGAAGAGGGGAAAGCAGCCAAATCTTTGGCAGGGCTTGGTAATGAAAAGCAAACCAAACAACAAAACCTAATGCATTCAAGGAGAATTTTTTTTTTTTTTTTTGTTACTTATTAAGAAAGAAATACATTAGTTTGTGATTAAGTGGATCAAATAAATTATATTAGTTCTGTAATACTGCTAATAATTAGATTTGTCTTAGTTATTTAAGTGTAAACTTTTATTAACCCTTTAAAGGGATAATATTGTGTTGATGTGCATTGATATGCTAGTTTATTGTATGTGAGAGAAATCTGAGAGAAATGTCATAAAACATGATTACTCAAGTTGTTTATTTACCATTTTTACAAACTGTAAGGGTATTCATCTTCTGTTTTGCAGAAATGTGTTTTCTTTTCCTTCTTTTTGCCCTCAGGTTAACTAGTAGGTTAAGAAAACATCCTTGATAGGTAAGTTTGGTCGAAGTTAATTAGAAGGTGGCAAAAGGTCAGGTTTTTTTTCCTTCCTTCAAAAGAGTTTATAAATTATAAAACTAAATGATTTAAAAGCAGTAAGTGCAGAATGCAATAACTGATATCAGTGTCGTATTTAAGGACTAAAATAATTGAGAAGTCGCATGAAACTCGCTGTATTAATACCTATGTATTGTATATGGTTGAAGAAATATCAACTTGAAGTGTTGGACTATTTTCCCACTGTTGGCATTTAAACTTTCTTCAAGTGTTCGTTTTTTTGGGTTTAAATGCTATCAATAACTCAATGCTTCATAGCTGATAAATTTGAAACTAAAAATTTGTGGCTTTGGAATCCATCACGCTCTTCTTCCAGAAGAAAAAGAATAGATTAATTTTCTTGATTGACTGTATTTCTACATAACTTTTAAAATTCTGCAGCCTACATCATCAGCTGAAATCTCAGAAACAGGTATATTGGACAAGGTAAGACCATCACAGTGAGAGAACTGTTTAATTGTTACGGATACACAAGACAACCAATGGTATTACTTGGTTATTGAGACGTGAGGAGTATCTTAAAATTTAAGCACTCTCAATGTGACACACTCTAAAACCCAAATAATTACATATGTTAACAGCGATTTGGTATGCTAGTATGATGCTTACAGATGCAGAGGCTGTTTGCATTTGCTCACATGCTTAAGCAGCTGCTTTAAATTCTGAAGAGAAAAATATATGTAATGAATGAGATACTTATTCTGCTGTTTGGGGTAGAAGGAAAACAGAAGCCAAAAAGCTAACCTTGCTTGTTTAAATCAATTTTTGTAATGCTCCCTTAAGTGAATTCTTAGAGAAGGCAGCTGTAAGCAAGAATAGGTATTAGCAAACGTACCAAAGACTTCTACTAAAATTAGTGATTTGTCTTCTAGTTCAGGCACTGAGTGTAAAGATGCAGAGTACCAGTATGCTCTCATTTAGTATTGATGGTCATAAAACTGAAGCAAGCTGACTACCCAGTCGTTGTATTTATTATTTTATATTTGCAGACACACTGATATTTCAGTATTAACCAGCAAAACACAGCATTTGAAACTGGATAATTAAAGCTGATTTCTTGCAACTTTAGCTAGATCTTCTGAAATTGCTTGTATCATTTGTTCTGTAGCTTTCTTCAAACTGTTTGCTGTCTGTATGGCATGATCCAGGGTAGAATTTAAAATCTGTTAGGGATAATAAAATACAGCCATCTTGAGTACGATTGTTTCCATAGGTATGAAATAGGAAGTGATGTCCAGTTAAGGCTCTGTGTAGCATTTTCCACAGGTGTACTCTAAAAATATGTTGACAAGTTTAAAACAAAAAATGCGGTAGACTACTCCAAGATTTGAGTGTAATAAATCATTATTTTAACTTAGTATGGAAAGTTTCAGCTATGGAACATGTTTTTTTAAACTCTCTCCTGTTCCATTATTATCCTCAAATGGATTAGACAAGCTTAAATGGTAATAAGTGGTGTGCTGAGAAAGGGTATTGTTAAACAGTTCTATGACGGTGTGGACATATGTTTTTTTAAGATAATGATATGGCTTTTAATTTTTACCCTCAAGTCTTACATTTGCGTTGAAATCATTGGTATTTCTGTTTCTGATGTTGATTGCAGGTTTGTTTCGGGCAGACTTCTTGACATTGACATTCCTAAATATTGGAGTGAAAGGACAACTTTATCATATATATTTGAAAAGGAGGATTCATCAACCTAAAAAATCTGTCTAGATATAAAGTATATAATAAAACATGCAAAATTATTTTAAACTGTGAATTAGATAAATACACCTTGATAACACGTTTGCAAGTAAACTTAACAGTGAATAGAATCTTTCATTTACCTGTGAAAATACAGCCAATCATAATTTGCAGCTGTACTGCAGTAAGACAATAAACATTCCCCAATGAAGAGTTAGAAAATCTCGCTAGCATCATTGTCTCAGTGCTGTAACCTTCTTGAGTAGTCTGCCATTGATACTCAAGCGCAGCTACCGTACTTCCAGGCAATTACTGCTACTCAGAGTAATGCTGTCAAACACTATGGTTGCAAAACTTGCCCCGGGTTACGTCATCTGTGTTAACTATAGTTAAGAATCCATTTGATTCCTCAGACTCTGAGTGTAATTTAATGTTAACAAATCATTAGGGGTAAAAAAAAAACAAAACAAAAAACAAAACAAACCACCTTACTTTATTAAGAGTATGAGAGTATGTTTCCATTCACAGATCCCTAAAACAAGTCTAATACTTAATATGCAATTATTTTTGCTACAGGAGTCCTGATTCTGTCTTGTTTTTCAGAATAAATATGTCAGCTACCGAGGTCAGATGTTGATTTGTTAAACTAGAAACATTGAAGAACTACTCCAAGAGTTACTTACATTAGTGCTTATGGTAAATATATTAAAATTTTACTCACTAATTAAATTAAAAGATAGTGTGCTCTGAAAAAGACAAAGCACCACCCCTGCTTATGATAGTGCTGAATATTTTTCATGCTGGACCTTTATTAATGTTATTATCTGTTGTGCTACACACACTTAACTACTACAGCTTACCTTTCAGAAAGTCTGTTTACAAGTTCACGGGGCCGTTTATTTGTTTGAGTCTTCTGAGTGGAGATTCTCTTCTGTGAATAAGCTTAAGATATTGAGGCTGTGTTTAAAACTGATAAATGTATTTTCTATATATTTATCATATTTCTCCATTTAGCATAAATTCAACTCAATGTCACTGCTGAATTAAAATTTGAATACGTTATGATTTTTTTGTAAATGAGGCCAAATTTTTCCATTTACTGGTTAGCCATAGTGCTGTTTCTTATGCTAAGCTAAATTTTTCTTGGTACATGAGCAACATGACTTTTTGCTCTTCAAGATCTAGCCCACAATTTAAAATATTTCTGTAACAAACCATACTTACAGGTTGAACCAGCATTTTTATTTCTACACAGGGCACAAGACTGAACAGACTGTTTGTAATTCCTGTGTTTGAGTTGATAACTGCTTTCTCTAGGGCATCTGAATATAAATCCTGAAAACAAAGACATGTTTAAAAAGTAGAACACTATAAACAAGAATATTTTGTGTAGATTTTAGTATTTTTTGCAATTGTTTTACCTTTTTTCTCTTGATGTAATCTTGTATTGAGTGTTCTGTAACTTTCAGTCTCATGTTCCATAAATTCCTCGCTTTGTGAACCGTAAGAGTCACAGGCTGAGATGTCTTCTGAATCACTGCCTAAAATCCCCAAAATAGATATTAAAGACCTGAAATACTAAAAGTTTTGGCCTGTGTACCTAAACAATTACTGGGCTTTCAGCACTGTAATTTCTGATCCCTTCACAGCCACTAGCAATACTGCAGTTAGAAAAAGTTCTTTTTCCTCCATTTTACAGGTGGGGATTGAGCTGTAAAGACTGGATTTCAGCTTTAACTCTAAGCCTCAAATGCAGATGTTATTTCCAGTCCCAGAAGTGTTTTTATAAAACTAAACACACCCTCTCACTGTCCTTAGGTTTTTGTTCTGGAGGTTAAAATCACTGAAAACAAGCATTAGGAAAACAATGCAGCCCAAGAGGAACATAACAAAGAAGCTGGGAGGATATAGTATGGCACTGCTTTAGTTATTGCACAAATCAGCATTAAGAATAATGGCCCCAATGTATTATATTAAAGTGGAAGGACGTCACGGAGAAGTCAAAGAAAAAAGGTAGGCCCAAAGCATGAATAGCCCACGTGCTGAGATTTCAAGCTGAATCTACTACAGCTCATGCTGTTCTTTTAGTTTGTCAGACAGCCTCAGAGTATTCTACATTAGAAAGATAAATTTAAGATGCCCTAAGAGAAAGAAATGCTTACAGATTCCTAGTGAACCTCTAAGAACTGGAGTCTTAGATGACAGCTGATTTAATTAGTTCATTCACAGTAGCCTGTGTAGGCTCTGGTTTGCATTTGGTGAAACTATTAGGAGCTGGATGGAGGAAGCAGAACACTTCCAGTCTGTCTCTATCCTGAATGGAAGAAAGATTTAAGAAACCGTTCTTGATTTTCATGCAGAATAAGGAAGTTGAATTCCAAAAATGAAAGTGGAAATCTTAATGTGCAATGTTTTAATTACCAAATTTGTTTCAATGTTTGGTTGTACCCAGACTTGTCTGTTGCCTCTTGGTCTGTCACCGACCAAGAGTGGATTTGATGTGGTCTCCTCAAAAGTCAACTTTGTGTTGTTATTGCCTTGTGCTGTGCTAAGCAGTACCATCTGCTGAAACTCCAAAACAATTTTCATGCTGCTTAGATGTGATAGGAATGCATTTCTAAGCAAGATTGAAAAGGAGGTATAAGCACAGGGTTCTGACCTTTGTATTGCATCGCTACTTACTCAGATTTGTGTCTGATAAATCAGTTGGTTTTCTCTGAATGAAGATGGAACATACTCCGGTTTTCCTTTCCTGGATGTTTTTATTTCTTTGAGCATGGAAACAGAATGATATCTTAATTTTAGCTTAATACCTGTATGAGTCTTATGGACATAAAATAACGTCTAACCAGATCTTAACTAAGAAGATAGCAGATTTACTTTCACTGTTCTGAAAAGGTGGGAAGTAGAAGTTTAAATGAAAAATGAACCAATCACAAAATAATGATTTTTTGTCCAAGAATACAGTCTGTCAGAAAGACCTTGCCTTATCAGAGCAGTTAAACATGCCTAAAAGTGAAGTAACAGCTATAGCTTTAAATAGCAATGTAGCATACAACAGTATACATTTACATATAAGTGTTTAAACATGCTATAACAACATTATCAATGGTAAAGATTATGTAGTTTTCTTTTAGTAACTTTGAGCCAAGTTAAGGTTTTAATTTTTACGGCCTTTCCGGAATTAGAGCAATATTTGGGATGTGCGTTCTGACGGAACAAGATCAAAGATCCTTGTTTGCCATGTTTGGTGTATGTATTCTCAACAGGGCATGAAGTATCGTCAAATTTATTTGGAAAGTGTTTCCAGCCACTCATGAAAACAAGGATCAGAAGATTGAGTTATTTTTACTTAAGTAACAGAGAGGGGAAAAAATGAAGTTAGGTGAGTTTTACTAGATAAGTATTATCTATTCAGTAAAATAGTCTGAGAGCATTCTTCTCTTACGCTTGCATTCTTCTCCCAGCAAACTTAGGGTATTGTTGTATTCTACACTGCATGTTATCATAAGATGTGACTTTGGATAGAGATTTAATTTGGCAAAACTTCAAACTCCCAAATAAGGCACGTAGAATTATTTTATCACATGGAGATTTCTGTAAACGAAACTCTACAGATTGGCCTTTACACCTTCCACCTGAACTATATGCAGAATTATCAATATGCTCCAGGCCTACCAGATTTGTTTTATGACAATGATAATTTCCAATATTTGTAGTTGCTGAATAGTTCATAGTTAATTATTCAGAGTTCTGTCATTTATTACTGAAGGGGTGGGGGGCTTGACACAAAGCCTCTTCTTTTCATGCGCTATTAAAATTTGTTTGTGGTATTTAAGTACCACAGGCCTTACAGTGGTCCAGTGAGATGGGCTTTTTAAATATGAAATCATTCCAATCTTTAATGAAATTGATGGGAGTTTTGCCCTTTCTCCAGTGGTCTGCTGTATCACGTTCCTTATGTGATTAACTAGGAATACTCCTGAAAACAGGTAATCCTTGTATCTTATACATACTAAATGTGCAGTGTTCTAGGCAGAATCCAGTGTAGAGACAAGACTGGTGCACATACGTGTGTCAGTTTATTTAGCTGTAGAAAACAGTGTCTATGACTAGCCGAAACACACAATACACTTACCCTTTCACATTTTCTTCATCAGCATTACACTTTTGACTTAACGTACCCTGAGTATGGAATCTAAGACCTTTTTCTTCTGGTGAAAGGAATCTCTGTAGCACCCAGAAAGCAAAACAAACTGCTAGTATTGTTCATATTACTGTGTACTCATCAAACAGGGTAAGTGTGAACAGTAGCATTGGGTGTACATTATTTTTGTATTGCTTTAGTTGCCATCAGCTCTACAACTTCATCTATTACAATTGTAACTGTAAAGCAGGCTGGACATCATAAGAACACTTCTTAATCTGTGAAGTCGGGAGTATGCAAAGTCCTATGTAGCTTTGAGAAGGATTAGCCTATATTCATTCACATCTCTCATTGCCTCAGAATTACAGTAAATGTTGTAAGCAAGGAATTGCCTGTAGATTTTTGCCTTCTGAACAAATAACCAAGGCAGGCCAGTAAACACAGCTAAATCTTTCTTAAGAGAAGTGAACTGAATCACAAATTTCAAAAGTTTGGAAACCAATTCAGCAGTGTTATGATAGACTGTAGTATCTCAAAAGCTGAGCCATCACGCTGTGCAAAAAGGGGAAAAATGTTCCATAAATAATGTTAAAGCTGAATATGGTTATCTAAGTTCAAATGAATATGCAAACAGATCTCCTACCATTACACTGGAAGAATGCTTGCTTGCTAGCAGATAACCTTTTCCCTGAGGCTCCATTTCTCTTCTGGAAGTTGATTCAGCTCTCTTTTGTAACCTGAATTGGTTAAGCAAAAAACGTTTGTTTTTACTTTCCTAATCTCATTGAAATGATTAACACCTATGAAATACTCCCTGAAAGGGTAGAGAGATGGCCTCTAGAATTGTTTCACAAAATTTTAATGGTTAATTACATGAATATATCTGCATCCCTCATTTTTTTATTAAAAATTTAATGCAAATTCTTCTGTAGCAGTATTGCATTTTGACTAGTGTTTCACATCCTGAATTAGTGTGGCTGCAATAAATTTTATGCAGAGATATGATAACTTCTAGTGAAACTACTGGTAGTGGTTTGGCTTCAGGAAGGGCCTCAAAGTAGAAATGCCAGGCTGGAAGGAATTCCTGGGTGTCAGAACTCTCTAAGTGCCATTTGGAAATATTCTACCTACTTGCAGATATTCTAGACATCCCGACTTTCTGTACTCAGCAAATAGTTATAGAAAAGGTTTTAATAACTTTGGTAGCTGTCTGCTTTACACTTACATGTGAGGACAAAGATTGTACTTTGCAGCTTCGAAAGAAAACAGATGATTTGTTTGTGGGATTACATCGCTTGTCTGACTTGTATTTTCTCCCTTGTTCTTGTGAAGAAATGTGGTTTCTTCTGGAGGATCAGTAATGCTTGGAACTACTGAGCTCTGTACAAAGTAACCATAGGATGGTAGTATATGGTCAGTGTATCACAAGTACATGACTTCCACCAGCCAGCATTTTCTGAACGTCTCTAGCTTGGGATTCAGAGAAGACTGGTCTCTAAAATAGTGACTATGAAAGCTCTCTTAATTTTCTGTTAGAATTAACAAAATTAATGGAGCTGATATTTAATGGGGAAAAAAATTTCTTTGCAGTGACATGCTATCCAAAACTGTCATGCTTTACAAATATTAGAGGAAAACATACAACTACACCGTTTTGAGATTTTCTTCAGTAAAACTGTATAATATAGTTTTTAAATGATAAATCTCAGAATTACCTCCCAAAGAGGATTTGATGAATGGGCAGATTCATCAGAAATAAGCGAAGGAGCCAAGCTGTATTTGCAGTCATCAGTCTGCTCTTGGATGTCTTCAAGCAGCATGCCAAGTCTAAATATTTCCCCTTCCACCTTCCTAAAACCAATCACAATACACAGCTAGTGAAACTTATTTCTTACCATTTCTTATCTTATAATAACTATATTTGGCATTGCATTCAATATTCGGGGGGGAGGGGTATTAATAGAGTTCACTGAGTCTCTTTTAAGTACTTGAATTAATCCATTAGCCTAATTATAACAGCAATATGTAAAGCCTGACATGAATTTTGGCCAAATCACTTCTAGCTTACTCCATGTAATGTTAAGGTGATGTTTTCACCTCTTGAGAATGTTAATGGATAAATGAAGTAATAGTTCGAAGACACTCAAAATATGGAAAATATATGGATGCAATACTCAGCACTTATATTCTAACCTTTCAGGATCAAACTCTCCAACGTGGATAGACTTGTCCTTGTAGTTCTGCAGCTGTAAAACACGGTGCTCCTCTCTAGCAGTTAAGTAACTCCTTTCCAAGGCATCCAGGTATTTTTTCAATTGATTTAACGCCTTCACCAGTGAGAAATAATTCAATAGTAAATTCCATTTTCATTAGTAAGTCGTGGTAACCATAGTTACGCTATGTAAGGCAGTTGCTGTTTGCAGTGATGTTGGTAAGAATTGGGCTACTGCTCTGAATTAGAACAGGACTGCATCTCATATGCCCACCCAGGACACTGTGCTGTTCAATTATGTACAAGTAAAATATCGAACTGACTTCAGAACTTATACTCTACATGTCAAAATTCATAGCTTCTGTGGCAATTTAAGGCTTTTAACTGATAGGTTTGAATTGTAAATCCTTAAATCTAATTCAGCCATGTAATGAACAATTTCATTTTTTTGCTTCTGAAACTCAATTTAAATCTGAGATAGACATTTAAAAATCTTTTTTTTTTTTTTAATCAATTTGAGGAAAATATTGAATATCTTGCCAGAAAATTTTAAGTCTATAGACAATTCAAGAACATTTCTGATTACTGAAAATATATTAATTTACCAGGTAATTGTCTTGTGGAACGAATGTCTCATGGGTCATATGTTTAGTGAAATCTTCCACCTTCAAGAGAAAATACTTTTATATTGGATTTTAAAAATGAGCATTCCGAAAGGGTATATAATCTGAACGTCAATGCAAAATAGATATGGAAACAGAGCTCTTTATTACTTTAATTTTCAGTTGATCTGTCTGTTCTTTTAGTATCTGAGACATCTTTTCTCCTTGTGTTAGTTCTGGCAGTAAATTAGAAGGACTTGCACAGTGTACTTGTACTGTACCAGCTGCTGGAAATGCTGATACCATTGTCCCATGTGGTAATCCTATATAATACAAGAGAAGATCAGTTAGAATTTCTGCCAAAAACTTCTGCCTGAAAGTACTATCAAATTGCATTAAATGAGTAATTTGCATAGTTACTGCCATTTCATTTACTTGGATCAGGCAAGTGCTGTGTAGTTTTAGGGACACGTGCTGTAAAGACTTGAAATGTCCCAGCGCCTCCCGAGTAAACAACAAAGCTTGGAGGTGCAAAATCCGACTGAGGCAGTATCTGTTAAAATGGGAACTTCTGTTAGAGAAACAGGGTCCAGAACACTTGTGAACATTTAACTAAAAAATTTAGAAATACATAGGACAAGTTGTTAATGAGAGGCATATTATAATTGCACCATATAATTTGCTGTGTTTTCAGTACAGATACTATCTCACTGTGTAAATGCTGGAATATTTTAACTCAATGTCAGGGAAATCTGTGTTCAGAGAACTTGTGTAAATGGGTAGCACAATATAAAGGTGACAACAGCTGGGAGAATATTCATATTCTTAGAGGTAAGAGAACAAATTAATAATTTCCTAAAGATAGGATGACTTGCAATCACAAATAATACTTCAGTGCATCATTAACTGGATGTTTAAGCTCGGTAGAAATTCAGTCCCACAACACTACATGAAAGCAATTATTGACAGAAGGGAGACACTTGCTGATAGCTGCAGAATGCTTTTGTGAATTAGTCATGTTACATCTTACTTGACACAGAATATCTTTTTTTTATAGTAAACATCACTCCTGACAAGTATTAACAATGTTCTAAAGCATCTTAATTACCTTGAGCTGTTGCAACAATTCTGGAATTCTCATTTCTTGATTCTCTACTTCAACAGAACGGGAACAGTTACTTTCTAGAATGTTGTCCACAGTTTCTGACTGACAGAGCAGAATAGGGAAGGATTTTGTTGGTTCAGTTGTAGGAACTGATTTAATATTTTCGTTTATTTTTGGCACTTTTAGTTCTGTAGTAATTTCAGAGAAGTCAGGAATGCAATGGTGAATGTCACCATGTATGAGCCTGTGAGATGAAGCGTTTTTCTTAAACACTTCTCTCTGTTCCTTCGTGTTGTGAGAGAGGTGTGTGTCTTCGTATTTGTTCCTCAACTGTGACCTGTTGTGTCTGCACCCGCAGCTACCAGCAGACGAAACAGATCGCTTTGAAACAAGTTTTTCATTTAGCACACTTGGATTTTTCCCACCCGTGCATCCATCCTCCTGCTTTCCTAGATGATCCTCTTCCCCTGTCGTTGCCCACTGTTCAGGTGTTGAAGAGCCTTTGCTGTGCTCGTAACTCTCAGGTTTGTTTGTGGTTTCACCAAGGCTTTCCGTGTAGGACATCTCCGGTATGGTCTCACACTCGATTAGCTGCCCTGTGTTCAGTAACTCTCCTTCAGGAAAATGACGCCAGAGGACGTTGGACATCTTTGCGTTAGGCAGCTGTTCCGTGCCAGCTGCTTCATCTTCAGAGCAGGACAAACTTAACATGTGCGGAACGTTTCCTGTGCAGTCCCGCAGCCGCCCTGCATTGCTGTTGCATTTACAGCTGGGCCCCTCGTCTCCATCGTAGGGCAGCTCCTCCTGCTCCCCGGCACTGCAGCTGGGGCTGGCGCTGTGCTCGGTGCCGAGCGCGCTGTGTGCCGGCGTCCCCAGCTGCTCGCTGCCAGGCTCCATCTCCCCCTGCGGCTCCCCCCGGCCCTTCCCGCGCCCGCGCCGCCTGGCCCCGCCCCCTTGTCCCAGCAGGGGGCGTGGCTTCCCCAAGCCCCGCCCCCCTCTCCGGGCGCTGCCTCCCGCCGGCCGTTGGGGCCGGGGCCGCGCGCCCATTGGCGGGTTCGAAGCGCGGCTGCGCGGGGGCGGGGTGGGGGCGGCCGCGCGCGCGCTCCCCTCAGCCGCCGCCGTCGCTGTGGAGACGGGCGGGGGCGCGCGGGGGGGGCCGCGGCCTGCGGCGGAGCCCGGCTGAGGTGAGGCGAGGGAAGGGGGGGCGGGCAGGGCCGGGCCGGGCCCCCGGTGTTGGTGGCGGGGCTGCGGGCTGGGGAGCGTGGCGGGGGCGCGGGGCCGCCTGAGGCACCGGGGGCAGCCGGCCTGCGCCTCCGGCACCGCGCCGCGTCTGTGGCTGTGGGGCGGGCAGCGAGCGGCCCCTCGGGCACCGCCACGGCCCCCGCGGCCCTCCCGGCTCGGCCAGGCCTCGTCGCAACGCTGCTGATCGCCGGGGAGCGGCGTTCACAAGAAATCAGCAATAAGAAATAAGTAACTAAAGGCTGCCTGGCCGCGGTCCTGACTATTGAGCATGAGATGGTTTTTTTCGCTCTGGCACAATCTTCTCATGATCCCTTTGGTTTTGCTTACAACAGGATCATTTTTAGCTTCTGCTTTTCCGCTTCTTTAATTTAACAGCGAAGGTGTTGGTATGTTTTTCTTGCTCTCATTCATAGTTCTTGTAGCTGTCCTGCGGTCAGTTTCACCTTCCACGTCCATGCCCGGATCTGGTAACTATGGTTTTGGTTTTAGTAGGCTCTAGTGTTAACATCTCAATGAAGTTGTTTGTGTTCAAGGAGTGGGTGCTGATCTTAGGGCCTTCAGAAAGATTAACCTGCTCTGGCTGTTACTGGTCCCTGAATGAAAGAATAGCAAGCTTCCAGGAGAAGGAAAAAGCCTGCAACTTCCATTTAGGTGTTTAAGAATGAGTCAGCTAGGCAAATGATTACATCAAAAAAGGAAGCAAATAGTGGAAAATACAGGAAAAAAGTGGAAAAGCTGGTAAGAGATGGTCTGAGACATACATAGTATTGAACAGATGATTAACGTCAAGTTGCCTCCTAGGACTTGAATCTGATTGTTTAAAAAGTAGGGATCCTGTTCAGATCATAAAACTTCTGTGTAATTTGAACCTTTTACTGATAAGAAGGAGAAATGTTCACACAGCAGAGTTATGGGGAAGAAAATTATGGGGAAGAAAATCGTACATGACCTACCTAAGCTTCTCTAAGTCTTCTTTTATTTCTTTGCACCACGTTTTTTTCCTACTGTTGTCTTGCTGTTCAGGATATTGTTCCAGGCAAGCAACACTTTGGAGGCTGTATCTTACCTGGCAATCGTTGGCTGCTACTGGACAGCATACAGTGTCGTGACCAAGAGTATCTGTGTGACAATGTGAAAATATAGTTAGATAAATCCGTGGGCAACAGAGGCAAAAAGAGGCCAGTTCAACATCTGTCACACAGACTGAAAAAATGGATTTGAACAGCTCCTAAAAAGACCTGCACCTGCATCCCAAATGTCGGGATAAATATGCAAAGCAATTTGCAACTTGGCACCTCAACACATATTTTTTTCCTTAAATCTGCATAGGCGTTGTGCCATAAATAAACAGTACCTGTGTCTATAAAAAGCAAACGATTGGAAAAACAGCACCTGCTCTTCTTTCTGTGCTATGTGTTCATCCGCACCTAGGCTGTAGCTGCACATTGTTCAGCTGTAGGCTCAGAGGTGAGGAATGTTAATACTTGCTCTTGGTCCTTGCAAACTAGGGGACACAGGTGATGCACCAAGCGATGCTGGTGGCAGTAAGCAATCAGGAATCATTTCAGTTGTGTAACACAGCTGCTGTAAGAGCTACACCTGCTCCTTGCAGGATAAACTCTTGCTGGGGTGGCAATTAGTTCTTTATGCTGAATGCTTGCTTAATCTCTGAATGAGCATGAAATAGGAAATTTGATACATCACTTCTGTTCCTTCACCTGTACATGCTAGTGTGTTTTATTGCCTGTGATTCTATAGAAAGACTTTTTTTTTTTTTTTGATTTATCAGATCTTAAGATTGATTTTTTCCTCTCTTTGCAAGGTGCTTGTGCAGTCTCAGTCTGGCTTCTTTCTTTACTTCCCAGGATCTCTTATTAACAGATGTTACAGGCCAAGAAGGAGCTGAGCTAAGTGGAACACTTTGTTGGAAAGATTTGCGATAAACATGCTCCATCAGCTTAAGCACAATATTTACAACATTTTGCGTTGAACTTTTCCCATCTGGTGTTCTATTGCATCTTATAACGTGCTCCATTTACCAAACTGAAGGTATTTGGATGGCTGAGAAAGAGAAACCCCATTATTTGCATGATGAGCTTGTCCCTGACAAGCAGAAGGAGTGAGATTCAAATTTAAGATCAGGTCGTGGTTACACAACTCGTACCGATTTTGTGGTAATGTGATTTAAAACTTATGTGAGAAGAAGAAAAAGATCACAAGATACTGTTTTCTTGTGAATCGTCATTGAAGGCTGGTGTGGCATTTAAGTGCTTGAAAACTGTGAATCTCATCTCCTGTTTTGGGATGCTTGGAAAGGAGGTTGCTGGCAGCACAATATTTTTCAGTCTGGGAATGACAATGTGTAAAAACTTAGAACTCATTATTCCAATCAAAAATAAAAATAAAGGAATCCTAATAACTTGATGTATCAAATACATAAAAAAAAAAAAAAAGCTATTTAGATTTTGCTATTTTGCTCTTTTTTTTAATGCACAGAGGATGTTACTCTAGCATATTGCATCTGAAATCTTAATCTTATTGCATTTAGAATGAGCTCCCAGTTGCCTGATTAGATTTATTATAGGGATGTAGGGATATTAGTTATGTTGTGCTGCAGGCACTTTGTGCGCTCTTCCTTTCGTATTTTGTCTTGGTGCGGGATTGCCTTACTTCAGAGTTTAAATGGATGGCTTACGTAAACTATTTGCAGAACTGTCCGTATAATAAAAATGCTTGTGGTTACGTGCGTTAGCTACACCCGGTTCTTTAGCTTGCACACTAGGCAGCAATTACAGACATTAAGTAGCACGCTGATTTCCAGCTAAATATTAATTCTTTTCTGTTCTGAGAGCTGCTCTGTGAGAGAGGCACTGAGAAGTCCGCCTTTGCACTTGGATATTTCATGTACTTGGGTATCAGTCTGGTATCATGTGCATTTGCTGCTGCTTTGTGTTACTCTATGTAGTGGAAATCTGTGTGATAGTTTTGGTTGTTTTTGTCACCAGTACATGCTTAGCCTGTAAGTCAGGATAGGGCCTGCATCGCTGCCAGGTGCCTGAAGTATTTCTTTTCACAAACCTGTAGGACCGAGTGCTGCCTGGCAGGGCACCTCCTCGTGCTGGAGCTAATGGAGCTGCCCTGCAACTGTGACAGTGCTCTGCTGAGCATGCTAGCAATGAGGATATGTGGGGCTTTGCCACTTATGTATTGCATCACTCTCCTAAGTTTCTGGCATTTCTTTCTGTGCTTAATTAATGATTCCATTATAGGGAATGTATTTACGCTTCTGATTGCTGGGTGAAAATAGGGCATTTAGGGTTGAGCAGAGCTCCCAGATTCTTGCCAGATATTTGCAAGTTCCTTAATTGATTTTTTTTTTCCCTCCTTTGGTTTCATGTATAATGTACTTTTCTCTTGTTTCAAAGCATATATATATGCAGCTTTTATTTATGGCTTGGGTGTTTTGTGTGGAAGGAAAAGAAAATAACCCTTAAGAATGCGGGCGAGTTTCCTTCTGACTCACAGTGGGAAGATGCTTCTGGAATCAGTTATCATGGTTGTTGGGAATAGTTTTTTTATGATCTGGCAGAAATAACGTGTGTCATTAAGACTCTGCGTGTCTTTTAGGCTGATAATTGTGAGTAATGTTGAAAGTAATGCTAAGCAATGCCAACTTGTTAAGGGAGACGCTTGCACAACCCTGTAACGGCAGAGAGAAAAAACGAACAAAACGCATGTGTAGAGTTTAAAGGGCTTGCCATATTGAAGCCCCAAACTCTGCTCAACTAGGTACTCCGCAAACATGGAAGAAAAAAATCCTACTCCTCATCTGCAGAGTAAGTGGAAAATATATACAGATAACAGTAGAGGGCATGCAGAAATGCTCCGACACATCTGTTTGCCTTTACCATGATATTGTATAAGGCAGGCTGGCTGGAGTGGTAGGCCAAAAAGAGTCGTGAGGGGAGGGAGACTGAGGAGGACTGAGTGCACATAAAAGGGCACTGAAGCAACGAGCTTTTGCTAACCTTGTATACAACCCGCCATGCAGCAAGGCCAGTTGGGTTTAGGTAACCAAAGAACATAAAAATTAGATCAAGCCTTTTTAGAAACAGGGCAATAAAGTAATTCTCTCTGATGTTACCTTGCTGAAAGGGTTGTTAGACATTAGAACGGGCTGCCCAGGGAAGTGGTGGAGTCACCATCCCTGGAGGTCTTTAAAAGACGTTTAGATGTAGAGCTTAGGGATATGGTTTAGTGGGGACTGTTAGTGTTAGGTCAGAGGTTGGACTCGATGATCTTGAGGTCTCTTCCAACCTAGAAATTCTGTGATTCATGCTTACCATAATGCAGCACTGTGTTAGCAGTTCGGGAGCAGGTGTTGGTGCTGGAGCTGCGCTCTCAAGCAGTGAATTCAAGCCCATGCTGTCATTTTCAGCTGTGGATGCAGCGAGATCCTCACTGCTCTGTGAGCAAAATTGGTCTCCAATATACTCACCACCTATTAGGTTTCTTTTGGTTGGTTTGTTTGTGTATTTTTTTAGCATTTTAAGACTGGAAGGAATCTTACTGCCAGGATTGTTTTAGGATTGTCTGCAGTATTCAGTAATGGGACTTGGTTTCATAGGGCCATATATTTATAAGTCAGCAAGCATAATTGGGGCGGAGGAGGAAGCATCTGAATGAGGCACACTGTATACT